TTTTTTTTTCCAGAACCAGGGATTGAATTTAGGCCCTTGCGCTTGCCAAGTAAGTGCTTACTCTACTGAGCTATCTCCCCAGTCCCTGAGCGATTTTTGAAAGAGCATGGAGTCTGTTCTGTTGGGATCCCAGTGACTGGGCAAAAGGCGGACACAGATGGAGCAGAGAAGCGTCAAGAAATGAACATGTAGGGAAGGTGTTGTAGTCATAGCAGAAATTTGGGGGTTTTTCTGAGAGAAATGAGAACCCATTTGAGGCTTCTGAATCAAGGAGTGACTCAAGTTAGGACAGGGTACTCTGTGGCTTAGGGGCAAAAAATAGGATACATGGGATAAGGGTAGAAGAAACGAGTCCATGAGGAGACTGTCCTGGGGTCCCAGAAGAGGCTGTGAGTAGAGGTGCACCCTTGTAATCTTGGCACTCTGGGAGGCTGAAGCAGGAGGACGGCAAGTTCAAACTCAGCTTAGGCAACTTAGTGACTTAGTGGGACTGTCTCAAAATGGAAAAAAAAAAAAAATTAAAAGATGCAGGATGGGGATGTAGTTCAATGCAAAGGCTCTGAGTTCAATCCCCAGTGCCACAGAGACAGATGGTTAAATGGAGGCAAGCAGGCCAGCCTTCAGACACCGAAGCCCTACCCAAAGCCGGACTACACCCTCAAGTAGCACTGAGCAGGACCCATCCAGCTCCCTGCTCCCCGATGCTTGACCCCCAGAAATTTATACAAGATAAGAAATGTTTACTGTCTTGAACTTCTAAGCTCAGTGTCATTTGTCATAAAGTGATAGAGAACAAACTAATGGCAAATAGGTTCAGGGAATTAGAGAAAGACAGGACTCACGAAGGCCTAGCCAGGGCTGAAGCTGCTTGCCTGGAATCCCAGCACTTAGAATGCTGAGACAGGAAGACTCACAAATTCAAGGCCAGCCTGAGCTACACAGCAAGACCCTCTCTCAAAAAACCAAAACAGGGGCTGGTGAGATGGCTCAGTGGTCTAAAGCACCTACTTAGAACAAGCTTAGCAAAGCACAGGGACCGCGGTTCAATCCCC